TCAGAATCGCACAGTTATGGAGTCAGCTCGTGGAATGATGCAAGCTCCGAATCTTCAGAATCAGAAATGGAGTTCCCATCAAGAGATTAGACTGGGAGGCCCTCAATGACTCGTGGCGTGGTCGGAAGCCGACGGTCAAACATCTGAAGGGTGAGGGGAGCTCTCTTCTGGCCAGGCCTGAACAACGACGTGAAGCTTATGGCAGAAAACTGCGAAGCATGCCAGACGCACAAAATCAAACAACGAAACGGACCTCTCATCCCAGGAGAGATTCCCCGGCACCCGTTCGAGATAGTACATCAAGATCTGTTCGACTGGCACAATTGCATGTATCTGGTCACGGTCGACGGATACAGCGATTTCTTCGACGTCGCTAAGCTCGGGCATTCATCTACCACGGCCAAGACCATTAACGTGTGCAAGAGACTCTTCGCATAGAGACTCTTGCAAGAGACTCTACCCGCGATATTCAAGTCACGAGTTCAAGTCATTTTGCCGGAACTGGGGCATCCAACACAAGGTCAGCGAACCCCACAACCATCAAGCTAACGGGAAAGCTGAGTCCGCCGTAGAGGCCGCAAAGCGGCTCCTCAAGAAAGTTGAAACCGCTGGAGAGGATTTCGAGCAAGCATTACTAGAATGGCGAAATACACCTCGAAGCGATCGATGCTCTTCCGCGCAGAAGTTTCTCTGCCGGAAAGCTCGCACAGCTCTCCCGTGTCGGCCGCAGGATCTCCCTCAAAAAATCCCACAAGGAATTGAACAGATGATTCGCAAGCGCCGAGATCAGGCAAAACACTACTACGACAAGGGCACACGAAATGTTCAGCCACTCAAAGCCGGGGACAACGTGAGGATACAGTCAGAAGGTCACAAGAAGGAATGGCAGAAAGCGAGGATCGAAAAAACGGAGGGCAGGCGCCGTTATCGAGTCGTTTCAGACAATGGAACAAAGCTGGAGCGGAACAGGAGATTTCCGGAGGCCGGCTGGAGCCGGCCGTTTTTTCGGCTTGAGTTCCAGCATCATTTGTGAGCTCATGCTACGGAGACTAAGGATTCGAGTCTAGAAATTCACCCTCCACCCTATAAAAAATAGAAGCGCAAGCGCTCCGTCAAGATATTTATTGGATTGAGTCGCGGAAATGTCATATATGTCACCATCAGCGAGTCATATTTTCCCCATCAGCGTTGACCAAATTCGAACGAAGAGAAATTTGTGCCTTTCGAACCACAATCGGACACAGCGTACATACCTAAGTACCACAGGATACCACATGAGTGTCGAAGTCAAAAAGAAGGGTTTTTCGACAATCAGTAGGCGGGGAGGGGGAAATGAGAGCATTCTGGGGACATTCTCTCGGAATCGGGCTAGAAAGACCAATCAGCGAGAACGAAACTGATTGCGGCGGTTTGTCGCGCCACCGGGGGTCTACGCCACAAGCCCTACCTGTTTACATTGATGAACGCATTTTTAGCGGGGAGAATTCTGAATCCAGCGGGGCGTGCGACTCGACGAATCGGCGAGTAAGCCCTTCTTGGCGGCCTGTACGGATTCCAATGGCGGCCTAATTTAAATTTTCTAAAGTAAAGCCCCGGTAATAAATGAAATAAATGAATAAAATACAAATTCCGAGTTTATATGCATTTTTGAATGAGTTCTCATGAGCTCCTCCGATCTTATTCGCTCAAGTTTCGGTCGTATTCTGTACGAAGCTTTGTTTTGCCCAAGAGTGCACACCTATCCAGTTCATCTCGCTATCTTGTGATGAGGTATCCATGTTGCGTTGAGTCCGGGTCCGCATCATACAGTCTACTACTCGGTCCAAGAATCTTCTCTTAGATCGATTCCGTCGTCACCCCAGAATAACTCGCTAAAACAGGTAAAGTCACCAAGTCGCCAGCCCCGCTGAACTCAGAATTCTCCCCGCTAGAAATGCATTCATGTTGGGGATTTGATCAGGACCCCACAACATTGGCCGTCTAGTTTTGTCTCAGTCGGAGGTGAACGCAGTTTGGTCCAGATGATTCCTGATGAGCGGCACTTGTTTGAGGATACCGGAGGCAGGTAGTGAGGAGCTCAACCCATGAATGACGACGCGGGGTATCGTGCGGTGACAGAAGAATCTGTGTCTGAGGTTTATTTCGGAGGTGCTTTTATACCATCAGAGCTCCATAGGCTCGTACAGAGGAAATTAGTTCCAGAAAATATAATGGTACAGAGTTAACGATGTTGTGACAGTAAACATAAATAATCAGAGTCTTGGCAACCAAGTTGGTGCAATTATCCTTATCATAGACTTCGAGAAGATTCTAGACAGTAAATAATGGAAAGTCATTGTCCTATAGAGGGCAAGTTCCAACATTTTCTCCCTTACTGCGGAATGTTCGAAGAAGTTTTCAGACTCTGAATATAGTACCTTGGACATATATAAGCTCCAGTTTTTCCTGTGGGCATTCACTTCTTTCGAGAGAAAGCAACATGGTCCGACGTTCGCCTTCTCCGTTCGGTAGCAGTGATGGCTGGGCTCCCCCTTAAGGGGAGGATGCTGCTGATGCGTTGGCTGGTGGAGCTGTCTGTCCGATACTGATCGAGGATGATACTGTTCAGCTGCCTGCTCAGGCTGTCGTCCTCGGAAGCGAAGATCCAGGAACGGGTTTATACAATTTGCCTTGTTTGTCCAACGTAGAGATCGGCTTCGTTTTTCAGCAAGCTATTGATGTAGCTGGACTGTACTGGCCAGACATGAATGCTGAGACTCGTCGTCCGTATCGTGAGCAGGCTCTTCGAGAACCCTCACCTCCCAGGTCTTGTAACCGTTTCGAGAGTCTTGCTCATATAGAGCCAAATTGGACAGATACACTGAGAAACGAATTCCGTTTCGAATAAGAGGCTCAGACATTGCGATTAGGGATTGAGAAATCCGTGCTTGATTTTCGCTGGAAGAAGAGCTGTTCTTGTCTGGTTCAGGAATCTAAGTTCTAAACAGTAACTCTGGGTTTAAAAAGACGTGTCAGTAAGCTACAGAATATTCATGTAGCTTGCTCCGTTCCGTGATGGGGGGATGCCGAGAGGAATGAAGTTCCATCTCCTGGCTGAGCTTTTTAGCTCTACGCGATTCTGTGTCGACAGAAATATCCCCTTCGTGAATTCTTGTTGGAACAATCATTACTGGTACGTGAACCAATTCCTTCGGAAACAATGCATTTTAAGCAATTTATATGCATAGGTATTTCAAGCATTTTGCTGTTTCATGGTCCTGTGTATGACGGATGGAAAGTCGAGTTTTTCAGCGCGCCGGGCACAAATTGAGTTAGACTTATTTGAATGCTTGCACACTGCTTGATCAGGAGCGCAAAGGATTGAATCCATGCTGCCTTCAAGTATACGATTTCCGTGCATCATCCGTCCGATCTCATTTGACCTCTCAATCCGTCTTCGCGAGCAACTTTCTAAGAGAAAGAACGAAAGCCTGACGCCGCCATCGGTTGGAATCGAAAACCAAGAGTAGACTCAAAGGTAGAGTCGAACCACTCAGATCTGATCGAAGAAAAGTCAATCATATCATTTAATAATTCGAAGCAGCAGAAAAGAGCGAAATACATGTGACAATACAGACAACACATTGTGAGAGTGTCAGAAGATAAGATAGTCGGGTGTGCAGTCGGGCGCAGAACAGTCTCCAGCGTGCAGTATCTCTCAGCTAGTATAGACCAGAATTGTATATTTGTAGGTCAAGGAGAGGAAGGGCATGTTATGGGCTAGAACGCCCGCGCTGCGCTCATTTGAATATCTGTCAACACGAAGAGTGGTTTCGGTATGACGAGAATAAATCAGCAGATCTTGAGACCGCTCGATCCCGGCGTCGTATCTATGAACCAGCCGGCCGTTTTTTCGGCTTGAGTTCCAGCATCATTTGTGAGCTCATGCTACGGAGACTGAGGATTCGAGTCGGGAAATTCACCCTCCACCCTATAAAAAATAGAAGCGCAAGCGCTCCGTCAATATATTTATTGGATTGAGTCGCGGAAATGTCATATATGTCACCATCAGCGAGTCATATATTTCCCCATCAGCGATGACCAAATTCGAACGAAGAGAAATTTGTGCCTTTCGAACCACAATCGGACACAGCGTACATACCTAAGTACCACAGGATGGTGTCAGGTGATTTCGGCGCACATTGATTAGGGCGCATGGTCGATTACGGCGCGAAGTTGAATTGAGCGCAGTATTGATTTGAGCGCATCGTCGATTTGGGCGCGATTGATCCGAGCGCAATCGATTCGGGCGCAATCGAATTGAGCGGAATTGATTTCAGCGAAATGTTTTTGGCGCATGGTCGATTTGAGCGCATGGTCGATTTGAGCGCGTGATTGATTCGAGCGCATGATTGATTTGAGCGCGTGATTGATTCGAGCGCATAATTGATTTAGGCGCGCTGATCTCGGCGTGAAAGAATCTCGAGGCACATGTGCACGGTGACGCACATGTGCACGGCGACGCACGTTTGCGCCTTGCTTTCGGACCTTCCCTCGTGCTGAATGAGTTCTAGAATTATACGGACCAAATGCTGCAATTTGTGAACTCAACTCGCGGTCGACCGCTGTTGTGTGTGGACTTCTTTCTGTATCGGAAGGATCGCAGTTCATGCGAGAGAACGACTTGGCGCTGCGTGAATCGATCTTGCCTTGCTCGGATTACGACCCAGAAGGATTCTCACGGAGTGAGTAGATTTCAGTTGATTCTCGAAAAAAATTCGAGGAAAACGGAGGGGATGACGAGTATCAGAACGGTCGGGGAGTTTGCAGGACTAGTGTCTAGTGTTGTATTTTCCCAGCCGTTGCCTGTGCACAATCATGCACCAGATCCTGTTGGAATTGAGAAAAGACGCCACTTGAGCAAGCTTCGAGAAGTGAGCTTGCAAGAGAAGAGTTCGGTAGCTTCCGCAGTGGTCTCTTCGGTTGTTGGACGCATCAATTCGGTGGCAGTTTCAGGCTCAATGCCGAATCTCACTTTGCTCCGCCAGCAAGTCAACTACCACAGAGCTCGCGCCGGACCCTCGATGCGAATCAACCCATCACAGCGAGCTGATTTAGAGATTCCTGACGAGCTGATGGTTGGCCAATTGAATTGAGCTTGCACAATCATTTTTGAACTGAGCGCAGAAAGAAAATTTTTTTTTCGATGCTTCAGGGTACCCACTCTGGGGAGCAGTTCCTTCATTACGATTCTGGCGTCGGAGACTCTAAGAGAATAATCGTTTTCGCAACGGCGAAGAACCTCAAGCTTCTCCGAAACTGTAACGAATGGTTCATGGACGGCACTTTCAAAGCGTGCCCCTCGATTTTCTACCAACTGTTTACAGTCCACGTGAAGCTATTTTCGAGTAAAGTCATCCCGGTCATTTACGCCTTCTTGCCAGCGAAAGATGGAGTTACCTACAGGAAATTGTTCGAGCTCATCCACAAGGCGGTCGATGGCTCTTTGCCGCAAGTGATCCATCTGGACTCCGAAAAGGCTTTAATGAATGAACTTTCCGCGAGGTTCCCACTCGCTGAAATCGTAGGATGCAATTTTCATTTCAATCAGAGTCTTTGGCGTCACATTCAGAGCGACCCCAAACTCTGTCATGAATATCTGAACAACCTCGATGCCAATATGAATTTGAGGATGTTAGCCGCTTTGGCGTTTGTTCCATGCGCACAGGTTAGATCCGTGTTCGCGAAACTATTGGAATCCGATTTTATGTTAAGCACATGCCAGTTTTCTCGGCTTTTATCAATTATTTTGAGAAAACATGGGTTGGCCGCGAGTTCAGCGCCCCGATTTTCCCACTAGAATGGTGGAACTGTTACGATGCCACTCTCCATGGGACGGCCAGAACAAATAACTCAGTTGAGGCCTGGCACTCTGCCTTCGCCCGTAAGTTGGCTTCCAGTCACCCAACGTTCTATAAATTGATCGAAGTTCTGAAGGCAGAGCAGGGAAGCGTCGAGTTCGCCGTATGCAATACCGAGGCTCAAGGGAACGATAATGTGTCGAAACGAGTGTATAGGGATCGATAGAAACGTTTGGTTGACATTGTGAATGTGTTCGAAAACATGGACAATATCAAGTATCTTGAGGCTATTGCTCAGAATATTAAGTTTTAGAGCCTCCTCCTAATATATTCCACCTGAATTTTCAAAAATAAATTATTCTTTGACATGCATCGAATTGAAATACCAAAATCGCCGGGGGGGCCGACGCGCAGGAATAGTTGAATAGCATCGTGCGCTCAAATCAATCATGCGCTCAAATCGACCATGCGCTCAAATCAATCATGCGCTCGAATCAATCACGCGCTCAAATCGACCATGCGCTCAAATCAATCATGCGCTCGAATCAATCACGCGCTCAAATCGACCATGCGCTCAAATCAATCACGCGCCGAAAACAATTTCGCTGAAATCAATTCCGCTCAATTCGATTGCGCCCGAATCGATTGCGCCCGAATCGATTGCGCTCGGATCGATTGCGCCCAAATCGACGATGCGCTCAAATCAATACTGCGCTCGATTCAACTTCGCGCCGTAATCGAGCATGCGCCCTAATCAATCTGCGCCGAAATCACCCCGAACCCCACAGGATACCACATGAGTGTCGAGGTCAAAAAGAAGGGTTTTTCGACAATCAGTAGGCGGGGAGGGGGGAATGAGAGCATTCTGGGGACATTCTCTCGGAATCGGGCCAGAAAGACCAATCAGCGAGAACGAAAGCGATTGCGGCGGTTTGTCGCGCCACCGGAGCCACCACAATCGGAGCAAAGCGTACCTTAGTACCACATAGTACCACATGAGTTCCGAGGTCAAGTCGGAGGGGTTTTTGACAATCAGTGGGCGGGGGGGCATTGGATAAGGAAAAAAACATCAACTTGCACACCGGGGGATCATTCTGCAACCGCCAAGCTACATGTGCGCCGAAGTTGGCGAGGAGACAGAGCCGAAAAACGGCTCACAAACGAAGCGCTTACGCTTTTATTCTATAGGGGGGATTACAGCAGCGAAAGATATCCACAAACTCATCGTCGACAATTTTAAGAAAACCACTGCTCAAGCGAGATCAATCACTCTTGCAAACTTGTTCTACTTCGGATACAATCCTGGAGAATCAGTACTTCACAATATAAACAAATTCCGAGAACTCAACAACAAAGTCACAGCAACTGGCACAAGCCTTGACACTTCTATGGTCTGCTCTAGAATGATTCATTCGCTACCCCCCTCATAGGAAAGCTTCAAAACCAATTGCACTCTCTCACCATCAAGCACTTCATTTCTCACATCTCTAATATCAATCGTTGAAGCGAAGCTATTCGTAGAGGAAACGGCAAGTACGATCGTAACTCAGATCCTACAGCTCTACTTTCAAGAATGTCTCTGAACTCTTCTCGTAGAAACAACATTCGCCCCCCCCCACCAATCGCTCATTCAGACACCCCACTCGCTACTCTCAGAACAGATACGAAAACTCCACCTATCCGAACTCTCGAAACCCGACTCGCTACCCGAATCAAAGATCCTGTAGAGGCCGAGTCATGAGCCCGGAACTTTAGGTATCGATGAACGCATTGCCGTAATAAACAGTGTCGGCTGCCATCCAGCTGGCAGTATCTACCACGACCTAATCAGTGTCGTCACTCTTGTGAACTCTACATCGGTGACCCGGTTGAAAAAAACGAGAACTCACTCAAGAACCGAACTGGAAAAAGCTACGATGTCACACTCCGACGTCGTAAGCGCACAGCAGAACCCTACATCAGGGCCGGAGCCCTCTACGTTAGGCCTCGCTACAGTGTCGCTCACACTTCCAACCCATTGGCCCCAGAATTCAGACGTATGGTTCACAAAGGTGGAAGCCCAGTTCAGGTCAGCTAGAATCATCTCCGAAGAAACGAAATACTACAAGATCATGGCGGTCTTGCCCGAGAGTGCAGCGATCAGAGTTAGGGAAGTGGCCCCGAAAGCCAGTCTCGAGGCTGGCGACTACAACGGACTGAAGAAAAATCCGCAGGCTGCTGACTGAGTCTCTAACTCAGTCGGGTAATGGGCGTAGAACTACGCTTTTCTGAAGCCATAACCCAGTATCTTCGAGAATGATACATCAATTAATCAGATACTTCAACAAAAGATTCTTCTCCCTTACAAATACAGCAGGATTTACGGTCATAAAGCAAGTTTACTTTACTAATCCTTCACACCGAAGAACACAGGTTTATGATAACTGAAATAACTCGCGTTATTGATTATTATCTTTTCAGAAGATAAATTCGAGAAGATGAGATCAATACATGAGCGATCCCGTGTTGTAGAGAGAGAAAAATCTGTTTCGAGCTCGAGATTGAAGGAGACTTTCATGAATTGAGTCAAACAATCTCTCTTAGTTTGGTCTTGGATGTTCCAATTGAAATCTCCGCACAGTATGGTGGAAGCATTCTGTGAATCGAGACGTTGGGTCAGGAGTTGGCCGTGAATTCCAAAAAAATCCGTGATCTGATTGAAATTAGTTCCTGGGGAGATGTATACCACAACGAGTAAGATCGGCCGTTCTCTAATCAATATGTCGGCGAAACAGATGTCTCCGTGGGAAACTTCGAGATGTGGTTGCTCATATGTTGTCGTGACCGAGCAGCCCATATCTATATTAGCATATATAGCGACTCCACCGGTTCTGTCTACCCTTTTGTTTCGAGCGATCAAATTGAATCCCCGGATGCCGATTTCTTCAGTGTTTTTCATCCAAGTTTCCGATAAACAAAGCAAATGAGACTTCATCAGTAGATCATCGTTTTCGAGATCGGAGCAATGAGCTCTTAAACTCTGTACGTTGAAGTTGAGAATGATGATATTGCCAGAAATTTTGTCCATCGTAGACTGGTCAAGCGTCTCGAATTTGTTCTTCGCCAGGCGAGCTAGTTCGCTTCTCAACTGTATGATCTTAGGCGAAGAAGATCCACCGGCATGATAAAACTTGAAATCGTTCGAAGAGTTTGTCATGAACAAGCCATCAATCGATCGGACTCTTGACATGGCAACATAGACCAATTGCTGTTGTAGGGAACGATGGTAGTCGAACACAACCTTCTCGAATGTGGCTCCTTGGGACTTATGCGTGGTCATAGCGCGAGCTAGACAAAGTGGAAAATTAGATCGGCTACACCGAACCGTACTGCCTTTGGTGACAGGAAAAGTTACTTTCCGTCTGAAGAGAGGTGTCCATGAGGTCTGTAAGTCTTTTCTTGTAACTGCCATCGGTCTGTGCTTTGTTCTTGCTAAACCTCCGATGCCTAAGTTGTCAGAAAAGTCTAACCATAGGCAGAACGGTTGATCTGGGGAATCGGTGTCAGCATCGTCAACCTTGAAGTCAACTTGTTTCAAAGAACCGATGGCGCCATTCACGATACCATCCTCGACGTCTACGTTACAGGTGACCATGTATGGTTGGTTCAACTCCAATGGAATATGGTAGAGAATGTTGCCGGATTCTGATGGTGTCATTTTATGAACTTTAGTTCGAGCCGTCGAGAGTTGGTTTTGATCGTGGTGACCCAAGTACACGTCGACAGCCACCGATGTCCATTTTGGATGAACGACGGATTTGTTATATTCATCCACGTCAACATTTTTGTGGAATAAACGTATCGCGTCATTTGCTTCTGTTTCGCACCATTCTCTGGTGCGGAAACGAGCCTCGATGATCGCTCGTTCCTCTTCTGTGTGTGTGTCCCCATCTCCAATTTTCGTCAAGATCGTGGAAAATAATGTATCAGCTTGACGCATCACTTGGCGGAGGGGGTAGTATTTCAAGGACTGCCAGAGAACTGATCGATGAATTCCTCTGGTTAATGGTTCGTAGATTGGCTTCATGGAAACAGGAGGTAATTGCCGCAGGTCACCACAGGAGATGATATCCATGCCGCCAAAGGGGGAATCGTGGTCCATCGTGATATTTTTCAGTCGTTCATTGACGGTGTGAAAGATTCCCGCACCGATCATACTGATTTCGTCGATGAAGACTATTTTGATGCCAGCAAATGCACAGCGATATAGTTGCATTTGCTCGAATGATAACCCACCTCGACGTTGCATTGTACAAATGCTGAAGGCATGATGGACGGTTGTCCCTCCTATGGCTAAGGCGGCTTTCCCAGTCGAAGCAGCGGAAACGTAAACGTTTCTTTCGGAGTCGTGTGTTTGTACGAAGCGATTGTAGGTTTCCATTAAGAGTCTAAGTGTGAAGGTTTTCCCGCAGCCTGCTGGTCCAGTGAAGAATATTTGCACTGGAGGCAGGGTTGGATCGAAGATCCGGGCGATGCAGTGTTTCATGAGTGCTTTCTGCTCGAAATTCGCTCGACGCATTGCTTCACAATAGTCGGCGGCGCTGAGAACATTGCTCCTCTTCTTAATCACAGATGACATGGAATTGGGAATTTTCACTTGACGAATATCATCGTTATGTCGTGCGAACGTTCGATTGGGATCATGAAAGTAACCCTCGGTTTCTTCGGAGTCTTCGATGCTCTGGTCTTCTTCTGCTTGAAGCCATATTTCTCGGAACTTGCTCACATTGTTCTCAAAGTCTTCATAACAATCGTATCGTTTCCGCCTTTCAATAATACGGAGCTCGTTCTCGTCATATAGTTTGAGAAAGTTGTCATCGTCTAACTAGTCGATGTGCTCATTGCGGAATGGGTGGAACAACATGACCATGCTTCGCTTGTAATTTAGCTCATCAGTTGGCTTGAAGTATGTCCATCGGATAATCCGTGCGTAGTCCCTTTCTATGAACAAGTCTTCTCCGTTTGGATGTTTTTTGCCTCTCACTTGACGAGTAAGCGAAGTGAAATCTGCTACAGACATGTCCTCTAAGTATGACGGTCGCGATTCGTATTTTTGGATGACGTTCTGGGACCATACGTCCGTCGATTCTGCCGGTAGACCCTCGGAGTCCATGGCAGCTTTCGTTTTATGGCAAAGAGTGCGCTTGTTTGGGACGTCGGTCGTGATATATATAGTATCTCGACTCGCAACACTCATCGGCTGTCGCAAGCAAAACCAGGCGGCTTCTTGAGCGGTCATCTCGACCGAGTCCAACATCCGAACACTGAGACGTTTAAGGAGTTCGGTGTATTTCTCGTCGGGGTATTCATCTTGTAAATTTGTCATTTTACGGTGCAAATCTGAAATACCGCGATTGGTTTTGTTCACGTACTCGACGACGTAAGCTGCGCAAGTATATTCGTCCAGAATGAATTGCAAGTCCATGTTAGATTTCAGGGTGTTAGCAATCCATGGATTGAAAGTATTCGTCCAGATATCTTTCATATCTCTCCGGTATAGAACGATGGGACGTTTGATGGATGCTCTAATCACATTGAGGTAGTTGTCCTGAGTAAGATTCATAGAGCTCAAGAAGTCGTCGATTGAGTCGAAAGATCCCTCTTCAAGCGCTTTCCTCAATATGAGGCCCTTCTTCGTGACTTCTTTTCTTCTACCATCATCTTTGGCCATCGGTACCACGATTCGAGTGATTTCACTCGGCCAAAATGGTATATTGAAGCGACACACGGCCGATGACGCGTCCGTAGTTCCTTGATTCTTATAGCAAGTGAATGTGTGTTGATGGACTTGTAAAGTGGCATAATCTTGTTCGATGATTTCGTTACGGATATCGACCGAGCAGGGGATTACCATCCGTTTGACCGAATCCTTATGACCGAATCCTTATGACCGAAACCTTATGACCGAAACCTCTTGGCCGAAACCGCTTGGTCGAAACCGCTTGACCGAATCCGCATGACCGAATCTGCTTGACCGAAGCCGCTTGACCGAAGCCGTTTGACCGAATTAGGCTCCTCCCAGAGAGTGATCTTAGCTCATAGGTTCTCTCAGAAACTTCACATGAATTAATTACGCTGATCGAGTACGTCCAGAAAGTGGGCTTCAATCTCAAATCTTGATGTGCTCGCTTGTCGTGATCCATGATACGTAGAAAGTTCGATACGTACATGTCATAGTCATCCCTCTCAAGTTCATCACCTCTTGGTTCAAATACGCAATAATATGAGCATTGTCAACTAATAAACTTGTGATAAAGTCGTCGCTAACGCTAACAGCGTCAATTCCTCGTCTTCCATCAGAACTCACAACGCCGAATGGATGTGTAGAGCACAGCAACAGAAGGTTCTTGGGTCTAGCGGAATTCCCCAGCGAACCTGGGAGGAGCCTAATTCGGCCAAACGGCTTCGGTCAAGCGGCTTCGGTGAAGCGGATTCGGTCATGCGGATTCGGTCATGCGGATTCGGTCAAGCGGATTCGGTTATGCGGTTTCGGCCAAGCGGATTCGGTCATAAGGATTCGGTCATACGGGTAGTCCCCGAGCAGAGTTGATTAATCAGAGCGACCGTCTTCGGCATGTTTTCCGAGAGTGGCTCGTTGGGGTCATTATTAAGCCAAAGAAGAACATGCACATGTTAAGTTAAAAAAGGTTCGGTATGAAATTGCAAAAAAGCAAATAAACTGTAGGCATCTTGTTGTCCGATAGTGCCCCACAAACTGTGTTTTTTCCTCGATCGGAGGTGGAAATCCGATTTGGCCCGCGAACCGCCCCAGCATCCGAAAGTGGCCCGTCACGAATTTGAGTTTGACACCCCTGCCCTAGAATAAGTGTTCCGACGATATCATCCTTCAGCGTAATTGTTTTTAGATATTGAATATTTTGGAATAAATCTTTTCCTCGAGTGAATGTTCCTTGTATCAATATTATTAACTAGCGCTCCCGGTCGCCGCTTCGCGGCGACTCGGTATCGCTAGACTCACTACACATGCGCTAGCTCCGAGTGCGCTGGCTCCGAGTGCGCTAACGCCGAGTGCGCTGGCTCCGAGTGCGCTGGGTCCGAGTGCGCTGGCTCCGGGTACGCTTGCTTTGGTCGCGCGTGCTCTTGGTGAACGTCCCGTTTCCCCGCTTCCCCGCTTCCCCGTTTTCCCGCTTTCCCGTTTCCCCGCTTTCCCGTTTCCCCGCTTTTCCGTTTCCCCGCTTTCCCGTTTCCCCGCTTTCCCGTTTCCCCACTTTTACCGTTTCCCAACTTTCCCGTTTCCCCACTTTCCCGTTCCCCTACTTTCCCGTTTCCTCGCTTTCCCGTTTCCCCGCTTCCCCCGGTTTCCCGTTTCCCCGTTTTCCCGCTTCCCCGTTTTCCCGTTTCCCCATTTTCCCGCTCCCCCGTTTTCCCGCTTCCCCGTTTTCCTGCTTTCCCGTNTCCCCGNTTCCCTGCTTCTTCGTTTCCCCGNTTTCCCGTTTCCCCACTTCCCGGCTCTCCCGCTTCCCCGTTCCCCCGCTTTCGCGTTTCGGCGCTTCCCCGTTGCCCACGCTCCCCAGTTTCCCACTTTCCCGTTTCCCCACTTTCCGTTTTCCCACTTTCCGTTTCCCCGCTTTCCCGTTTCC